CCTTCCCCTGGTCAGGGATGCAGCTCGAGAATAACTTCGTCTTTCCGGAATTTATGCACATGCTAACCGACCTATCCATCTCATTTAACCACGACACTACTGAATCTAGACCACCAAATCTTGAGGCTAACAGCGCAATATCATCGGCGTAGTCAAAATCGGTTAGCTTACGTTCGTGTGCAAGCTCAACACCGTCCACTTCATGTGGGGCCTTGCCGATAATCCAGTCAATGAAATATTAAAACTGAATGGACGAAAGGACGCCGCCCTCTCGGGCACCAGATCGGATATCGAACGATTGGAAAAGATTGCTGTGGACCAGATATCGTGCGGTGTTATGCAGATTATAGGCCTCAATCATGGCAATCAGTTTGGTCGACACTCCATTCAGTTCCGTTATTCGCCATAGAAACTCACGATGGATGGAATCGAATGTGATGATGAAGTCGACAGAGCAAATGGCCGTCGGTTGCTTGTAGCTATGGCGGAATTCTAGAATCCGCCTTTATGTAAATATCTGCTCCGCACATCCAAGCTCAGCCGTGTCCTGGAGTCACATAGTGACTGGAAGCGCTTGAGAAGAATAATAAAGAGGATCTTTGCAAGAACGTCGGTAAGACTTATACCGTGGTAGTTCTCACATCGTGGCTTATCTCCCTTCTTGTGGACAAGTACAATGATAACTGAGCCCCAGTCATCGGGAACGGCCTCTTCTCGCTAAGCATGTACACTCACCTCATGAAGACAAAGAGCCAGGGTGTCGACACAGGACTTGTAGATTATTACGGGAATACCATCCTCTCCGCGTGCCTTGTTGTTGCGTAGCCTCTACATTCCAATGGTAACTACGTCTTCGAAAGGGAGGTCACACGACACTGTGTAGGCCGGAGAGGGTAGAAACTCCGCTGTAGAGGAGAGGAAGAGTGTGATGCATTGTTAATCAAAGTTGGGGAGGTGCTGAACGTGTTTACGCGAGTGATCGACCTCGGTCGACTTGTGAACACTAAAGCCTGCATTCACATGGCGAAAAGAATCACGGAGTGTCGGGAGCTTACCAATAACCTTTTGGATGATTTGGTACAATTTTAGAGTGTCAGCAACATTTGAAGCCTGATACATAGGAGTCGCCGTTTGGACCAGTACTTCTGCTGGTCATCTCTAGCTTACTTTTCCGTCAGCTTTTGATGTTGGCAGAAGGAGATATCGTTTCGCGACCTGGTTCGAATCATCTCAGCCATCAATTGCATGGATCTTCCGCTCATCCAGTCGCTGCGCGCCCCTAAGTTAATCCAAATATTTCCTCAGCTGCCCCATAGACGAATGTCTTCAGCTTGGGTCGTAACAAGGAACCACATTTATGTGCTTAGAGCATCGGTAGTAATGGTTTGCCGAAGCCTTGCGGCACCATGGCGACCCGAACGTGGCATTTTGGGCGCAGTTGAGAGGTGTAGCTTTAAGCGCGTACGAACGAGAGCATGGTCAGACCGGTCGACATTGCCAGGTTCGGCACGTCGAATTGACTGGCTATCGTGGACCTAGTTGCGTATCCTGAGACAACTTTAATGTACTCGATCTGACTGACGGTACGGCCGTCTTTCTAATACCAGGTGAGTAGAGGTTTGTGACGTTGCTAAAAGCATGTATTGGTAAATAAACGGTCGGTCCTGTACGGAAAACTGCAGCATTTTCTCACCATTGTCGGTTCGTAAGCCAAGCTCAAAGCGACCAAGAAGGTAGCTGTTTGACGGGCCACCGGGTCCAGTCCGGCCATTCCGGTCCCCGGCCACAATTAGCAGATCACGGCGAGGGAGTCTTTCAACTATCTCCTGCAGCTGTGAGTAGACATCCTCCTTGTTTTTCTGTTCAGCCACTGATGTGGGTGAATACACAGAGACGACGGAGATGTTCGTAAAATGGCCTTTTATTCGAACGTAAGCCATTCGGTCGTTGACT